AAATTTTTTTCCGTTAATTATTTATTTCTTATCTATTCGTAATTAATATAAAATAAAATTTCAAATAAATATTGAGTATTCTAGAATTAGATATCATATATATGCAGTTTAGAATTTTGATTTCTTTTTAATGATAAGGTCATTAATAATAAACACCTTAATTAGATAGAAAATTCATTAAATGACATCTAATTTAGAATTATTATTTTTTTGGTTTGACCATAATTTTATTCTATTATTATTATTTTTTAAAAAAAAAAATTATCTAACTTTTCGATAAAAGACCTATTAGATCTCCACCTTTTTTTCTTTGATAAGTAAGCAAAACCTAATTTATTTAATTGGAAAAGATATAACCTTCACCAAAGGTAACCAAAGTCTAAAGCCTACATCAGGGTAAGAAGAAGTGCCAAAGAAAAGCTGAACATGCAATCTAAAAAGAATACAGTGGCAAACAATAAGCTAAGAGCTAACCATAACTGATCTTGCAATTCCAAACAGCAACCCATAATAGCTAAAAGCTAGATAGATGACTACAGCTTGATTCAATGCAATGAGTAAAGAATTACACTTTTTTCAAGCCATTAAACACGGCTTAATTCACGAAAGAGTTGTTTTTCTCCTACCCCTTAAGAATTGAGCTTTGGACTTTGATTCGGTATGATCATGGAGTTAGAGAATGACAAAGTGGGCACTATCAAATACTTTAAAAGTCTGAATAATAACAAAGGAATCACTATAGGACAACAAGAGATATTTTGTTTCAGATAAGTGAAGTGTGTCTTTTGATCGTGTTGCTTTTATACCTAGAATACATCTTTAGATTCTCAAACACTTAATTGCGAATGCTGACTAACATAATTTAATTAGCCATTGTATAGCCGGAGAAGTTATTTCCATGATGACAGTACTAAATGGGAGATCCTTACTATTTATATGACCAAACAGAGTTCACCAACTCATCCAACTTTTCTTATTTCTATAGACTTTTTTTCTTCTTTCTTGCTGCTGCATTATCTTCTTCTTCATCTCCGTCACAATCTCACTTCTATATTTGCAAACCCTAGAATCAAAACAATTTAGAACAAAAAACCATACGACTTTTCATTGATATTCACCATAATCAATGAAGAGGGGGAAATGGGAACCTTCTTTTGCTCCAAACCATGTAAAATATATTAATATAGTCGCAATCAATAAGGCAAAGACCTGATTCTCGCATCAAACCTCCTCTTCTTCTACCTTAAAGTCATTCTTAACAGTGAAAGGTCTTGCAAATCTTCTTCTTCTGGCATGAAGTCACTTTCTCGTTGATTTTTCTCTGTCCCCAAATGCCATTTACGACGGCTGATTAACTCACTGAGGATAGATCTAAAGAGGAGTCTCGGGTAACAAGTGGCGGTATCATAAAGCAATACAGAAAATACCTATTTATTTTTCTTCTCTTCTGTACAATTTTAACGCTACAGTTGCATAAATTCATGCTTACTTGTCGGTGGTATGAATAAGAACTAGTTTTTTTTCTCTTTTGAGAAGATTGAAGAAGAGTTGTTTTGTTTCTTAAAATTGTTAGATTTTTTGGGATTACTAAATATATAGATTATTTTGTATACAAGATAGATTTATGAACGTGGTACTACTTGCTAGTACTAAAAAAAATGGAGAAGTTAAAGAGTTATTGCATTTCATTAAGTTGGTGGTAGTTTAAATCTCTCTCATACATATGCGGAGTGTTTGCGTCTTGCCTCGAGACTTTCTTGTCACCAACGTTATTGGAGAATCATCAAGATAGGCAGCCCCAAACAAAATGAATTAAGCACGAAAATTTTGAAGGAAAAAGACGATAACATGCTAGTTACTAAAGGAGGGAGAGCAAACACTTTATAATAATAGCTGCAAATTATAACATACCAGACTACTAACATGAAAGACATGATATATTTATCTTCTTTATTCTTTATTCTTAGTTGAAGAGAATAATCCAGTAGGAATATTCTTAGGTGGATACAATTTTTCACTTGAATTCATAAACAGAAACACACAATAAGCCGCATTGAACTAGACATTTGCGACGTTATTAAGGAAGTCAGTAAACCACAAGGCTGATGCTTTAGGTTGTCTATCTGATGGGTCACTGTAATTCACATAATTTAAGCCAAATCGTACTGTGAATCCCTGAACAAATTCATAGTTGTCTAGTAACGACCACGCAAAATATCCTTGAACATTGCTTCCCTCACTGCACAAAATATAAAATTAAGTAAGAAAAATATATGTCATACAATCGTATATGTTTCTGCATAGGTACACACGACAAGTATTGTTGTAGGTTTGAGAGAGTCTTTGTCTATGTTCCTTACACTAATTAAATATACTTACTTGATAGCTTTTTTAAGAGCTGAGAGATGGGTTTGATAGTAATCAATTCGTCCTGTATCACTTAATGTTTCATTAAGTGATATTGCACTGCTGTCGGCATAACCTGAAATAAAAAGATATTTTTTGTCATTATTCAAAAGAATACCTGGTATATATATTCGCCAGATATAATTTAACAATAAAGGAATAAGATATACCGTTTTCTGTAATGTACGTGAGAGGATTGTTGTACTTCTTTCTCACATAAGTAAGAAGATCATAAAATCCCGTAGAATTGTAAAAAAATAACGTTGACTGCAAAGTTTAAATTTGATGTTAATTAAAAAATAATTGAAACTATTATTTTTTTTAAAATAAAGGTATCTTTTTATCGTATATATGGTTCTTACATTTGTACCAATTGGAACGCCGTCACGAACATCTGTAGTAAAAGAAAGTATGTATTTAAATTAACATACGATCATACCACCACTAATACGTAACTTCAAATTTGATTCTTGCCAGAAAAAGTTAAAATTTTTTACGAGCTTTAATTTACTATACATATATGAAATGTTATAACATTAGTGTTAGTTGTACTTACTTGTAGTTCCAAATCTGCCATCTGTTAAAACACTTGGTTTTGTAGGATCAGGTGCACCAGTATTAAATGCATATAGTGGAAAATAATAATTCAGACCAAGAAAATCAATTGATCCTTTTATAAGTTTAGATTCCCACGGAGCGATTTTTGGTAATCTTTTGCCAACTAACTTTTTCATAGATGTTGGATAGTCGCCAAATGCTATTGGATCCAAAAACCTACAAAAATATAGTGAGAGAAAACTAGGTTTTATATCCATCTTGTGATACGTTATATCAAATATATATGTAAGTTTAATTTATTTTCTAGCCATGATTTTGTCCTTAATTTAATATTATTCATGTTAATTATTTCTGTTGATCATGCCATGGCCTCATTCCTTTTGGAAGCATGTTAATAGAAGTCGAAAATAAGCTCGATTACTTACCATCCGAGCTTGAAATCTTGAGCTCTTTGAGCAGCATTGATATCATCAATTGTATTTCTCAATGGATAATACCAATTAGCTACTAATGTAATACCTATCTTGCCTTTCTGAGTTTCCTGCAATATTATTATTTTTCTTTTAAAAAAATAAATAAGCTATACGAAGGATGTCATAACAAAAATAAAATTTTACTCCAAAATAAATAAATACTTTTAAGAGATATAAAAACTATATGAATTTTTAAAAGTGCGATATACTTTTTCAGCAGTTAATTATAACCTTATATTCTCTTCTATATAACTGAACAACTTCTGCATGGGCAAGAAGTTCATGGTAGGCTACGATATATGGTTCGGTTCCCGAATCTCCTCCTGTGCAATTTTTGTGCATCCAAGCAGAACATCGTCCAGGCGCTTGTTCGCCTTTTCCATAAGCATTAAACCCAAGGCTGTAGGGTTGATTAATTGTTATCCAGTACTTTACTTTATCACCAAATTCTCTAAAGCAAAGATTTGCGAAATCCCGATAATCAGACCTAATACCACAAAAGATCATCTAGTAATTAGTACAAGATTTCAAAGTATTTTATTAATTATTTCATAGCAAATTAAGAATGTCAAACTCTGTTTTTCAACACGATCCTTTTTTACTGCACAGCAAACAAAAAACTCTGTTTTTGAAATTACTTACACAATGTTACGATCCAAAAGTCCTCCGTACATGTCTTCTAAAGTTTGAGGAACATCCCAGTGAAAAATAGTCACGAATGGTTCTATACCTGTATTTGTTCGTAATATTATTAAAGTAATTAATATTAGAACAAAAAAATATTCTCGCAAATTATACAAGTAAAATATAATTGATCATTAAAAAAAAAAAGTTCAAATGACAACCGTTATCTAAGAGCTCATTGATAAGGTTCTTGTAGTATTGGATCCCTTCTTCATTTATTCCTCCACTTATTCTCCCCTCTGAAAATGGTATTAATTGTTGAAACAAACAAATTATGTTAAAAAAGATGGTATAGATAACTGAAATAGTTTGTCTAACAATAAAAAATACATCCTATCAATTATAAAGGGACAAAATCATCTTACTCGGCAATACTCGAGACCAAGCAATGGAGAATCTATAGCCGTTCACGCCCATGTTTTTCATCATCTCAACATCCATCTATTATGGTGGGAAAACAAATTAGTAATACGAAAAATCATAAAAATTCTACTAATTAAATTTTTGAGATCTTGTTTTGGCTTTTTTCTTTTTAATTAGCAGTACCTTATAAAGATGATACGAATCAGTAGCTTGGTCTGCATCATTTCCATCACTTGACTTTTCTAAAATTTCAATACATATATTCAAGAAATTATTCATAAATGTATATAATAAAAAAAATTTATAATAAGTTTTTACTATAAAAATTATATTTATAAGTGAAAATATACACCTGGATATCTATGAGTAAAGCTATCCCATATATTAAATGCTCTATGTGTCACACCTTCAATCTGAAAAAAAAAAAATAAATATAAAATATTAAAAATTGATATAATATCATATAATAATTAAATACAATCCTATGTTAAATATACATACATGTAGAAATACAATTCTATGATATGATTTTTTATCATTTTACATAAATTTGTTACAATTCTTAGAATTTGTGTAGTATGTATTTAGATTTTTTAAATAAGGACATATACAAGTTCAAGGTTACACAAATTAAAATTATGTCAAAAATTAAAAATAAACTATAGAATTAATAATTTTAAAATTTTATTAGTAGATACCTGAAAAGCTGAAGTAGCAGTACCCCAAATAAAATTATTAGGAAAATCACGACGGTTCAAACTATCTTCATCAAGAATTTTAAAAGAACCGATATCTTTATCGTTAACAATAGAAAAATGTATATTGCGAACTCCATTGGTGCAGACAGATGACAGAACAAGAACTAGAAAGAAGAGATATTGACACCCTTCTTGAATTGCCATACTTGATTAATTTTTGGCTTGCTGTGAGTCCTTTCGGTTCCAGAACTAGCATTTATATAGGAGCTGGAGATCTCTTTAATTATTTTATTTATATAATACTATATATAAAATAATTAAGTATTAGCTAATGCATGTGGAGGGAAAAAAGTTTCTTATTTGCAAGTGTGGTATTTCTTGAAGATGACCCTATTGACGAAAAGGGTGCATGCTGTGTGTGTGTATATATATATATATATATGCACGTGCATGGATATCGAAAATTAGCTACTATATTTTACTGATATTTCACCTTGACACCAAAAGATAAATTTGAGTGAAAATAAAACTGCTCTAGAACCGCCGGTAATGACGATAAACCATTCTTGAAATGCAGAAGAAAAGCCAAAACCAAGAAAATCTGCAACTGAACTGGATTTCCATACATAAACACGAACATATATATACTGATCAGAAGTTTTATGTAGATTTATTATAGTGAAAAGCTAATTAATGTGATGATTTGATATCGCATATTATTACAGCAATTTGTGTTTGTATATACTTTTATATTTTACAGTAGTCGTCGTGTATATATATCCACTACTATTGTATATACACATGTACATACAGCTTTATTTTTCTAGAAAGAAATAAATTAATATACAGTAAAAGTAAAATGTGAGCCATAAAAACGAAAACTGAGGTTATAATTTTTCATAGTAGGATTTTTTTTTTTCGTGTATATCATGGAAAATTTATCATATGTAATTTATAATGTCATAAATTCCCAGCATGTAATTGTGGAAACAAGAAAGAAGTACATGTGGGTGTGTTGCAAAATTTCTTATCTTCATCTGCTTGCTTGCATGCTGGCAGTGACAGAGCCAACCTTCATTTTTACCAGGAGGTCTTTAATATATATATCTGTGTATGTATACATACACACACATATTATCCGTTGATTCGTACGTGTTTGATATTAGAGTGATATATATCACTTAGCAGCCGGTCTGTATTCATCGATAAATTTATCATTCAATTAAGCAAAACAAATATTAATAAATTACTATTTTTGCTACTCTTCATTGATAAAAGATATTAGTTTGCTGAGATCTGAAAGTAAAAAAAGAGTTTATATTAATTTACATTAATTCTAACTAGTCAGATAATGAGAATACTATTTAAAATGATAAAACTTGAATATACATACAAAATTTCAAGCGAAAACTTAAATAATAAATTTCAAATTTTACAAATTTTTATGAAATTTATAATGTACTTTTAAATTTCACACAGAAGTTTATTTGTATACATATATATATATATAATTTTGTTGTCATTTTGATACATATAGTTAGCAAAAAGAATAATGTGGAATTCACTAAAATAATTAAAAATTATAATTTGTTTCTCTTGCTTCCACGTTGAAGGATCTCACGATTCGATTGCTTCAATATCACCATAATATATTTAATATTTATGTACATATCTACATGTGTATATATGTTGCAGAAAAATAAAAGAGATGAAAAATTATGGCACAAGCATATATGAGACTACATATTACTACATACTGCATGCATAATCTCCTTTGATCAATAAGTATCTATATATATATATATATATTGATGAATTTATAATTATGAGAGCGTGAAATTAATATTATATATATTTATCATATAAAATAATTGTTTATAATATAGCACTACCACCTATAATTGAAGCACGTGGTATAATAATTTCTTTTCACACTAAATCCACTGTGCTCGGTAAATAAAAATAAATTGAAAGATTTCATAACTATTATTATCACAGTTTAAATTTTATTTCCATAATTATTTTCAAATAAACATATATATATATTTGATATGAATAAACATTACACGTAAAATCGCACGCACACACGCATATATGTATATATACACGTTATTTATCACTAATTAAAGTTAGCTTGAAACTGAACTTACTTAAGCTAACTGAATTAAGCAAATACAGAGTTTGCTAGGTTCTTAAGAATTGTCATTAACCCACGTTTATTTGGAAATTAAGTCTAATTATATGATTTATATAGCGTAAGATGCAAAATCAGTATTATTCTAAGAGGCAACATGGAGCCTGCATAACATACACACACAGATATATATATATATATATATATATATATATATGAAGATACATATAAATATACAACTATAATTTATTTGAAAACTGAATAATTATTTTATTTCCTTGTTCATTGATAGCACTGAGTACTGCACAAGTCTAGCATTTTGCCTTTATATGTCTAGTTTTTTCTTTAATACACCAATTTGGCTTTTATTAATTTTATTTTTTAATTGTCATTTAATTCTCAGAAAATTAGTCAACTGTTATTTGAGGGCCTATTGCGTTAATAAATACAAAGAAATTTTAGCTCTTTAACTTTTATAATTTTTTGGTGTAAGTTATACAGAATTATTTGAAATGTAACTACAAGTGAATCCATTATTTATAATATTATCAGTGACATTCCTTAGTGATTAAATTTTTTACTTTCAATCCGAAAGTTATTAAACTGAAGTTCATTGAGAACGTGAAATTCATTTCTTTGTGTCAGGTCATAGTACTTGATTCAACGAGATATGTGAGTTAACTCGTAAGTGTACCAGTAACCTAAAGATTGGCTAATGGTCACTCTACCTAACACTTTTACTTAGATTCTGAATCAAATTTTATAAAGGTGGTTTTCGCCCTCATTTAAAAAATCGCATAAAGGAACATATTGTATACATAACTAATTTTTTGGAAGGTAAATAAGAATTTATTTGTTGAATGCAATAGACAAGGAATTGCATTCTTCAAGCCATCCAACATAGCTTAATTTATATTAGAATTGGTTTTTATTATTGTCGAATAAGAAATCTTCGTATCTTAATGTATATACTTAATTTATTCAGTACTATTAGAGAGAGATGCACTTTTTCAAAATACGAGTTGAAGCAATAACGAAAATATTTTTAGTATAATAACCAGGCCCAGACCATAAAAGAAAAGAAAAAATTTAAAAAAAGAAGAAAAAAAAAACCATGGCTGAAGAAGAAGAAGGAGAAAGAAAAAAGCGTGGCGCATATGGCCAGAAAAGAGGATGTCGTGCGTGCAGTGTTGGGCGCACGATGTGTGTTGCCAAAGAAGAAGAAGATGATGATGATGATGATGATGATGAAAAAGAAGGAAGAGGAGGAGGAGGAGGAAGGAAGCAGGGCAAGCGGTGCACGCGACCGGAAAGGAAGGTTTGTGCGCGGTGCATGCGACCGGAAAGGAAGGTTTGTGCACGGTGCTTAGCACGCGGTACGCGATGCGTGGTGCTGGGCGCACTGTGCCAGGCGTGCGGTGCTGCACGCACTATGCCAAAAATGCGGTGTTGAGCGCGCTATGTTAGGTAGACGGCGTGCGACGCACGATGTTGGGCGCGCTATGCTAGGCATGCGGCCCGTGGTGTTGGGCATGCTGTGCCAGGCATGCAGCGTGCATTGTTGAATAAGAAGAAACAAAGCGCGTGTTGGGTGGACCTGATCTGCATGAGGCAAACCACGACACGACATTCTGAATCTGTTCAAATATCCATGCGAGGCCAAAAATCAGGGAACCAGAGAAAGCGATCAAAATTGCACTCTTTTGGGTAGGAAGCCCGAATTTAACACTAATTTCGGTAAATTTTCTTTCACCTTACATTCAGTTATTGTTTTAAATTAAATCTTTAATCATGTGTGTAAATATTTTTGAAAAATTGGGAATAAGAAACTAAAAAGGGAGCTGACTGTATGGAACCAAAATTGTTTGAAAGCTTTCCGATTTCTTCTCTCACTGGAGATTCTGGTAAGAATTGAATTAGTTTTCATTCAAAGATTTCATGTTTTCGTAAATAGTTTATTGATTTCAAAATGATGGACCCAAATTTAATGGATCATTTTAGAATGTTTTTCTCAAAAATTATTATCCGTATGTAAAAGTGTTTGAATAGCTTCCTATGATTGTATTTGTGTAATTAAAAATAATGTTGAAGTTGTATGAATACATAACTGAATGTGTTTAAATGTATGTGCGTGTGCCAAATGATACACATATAGGAGATAATGGGTAAGAGTATACATTTACAAACTTGATGTCTTGATGTACATATACATATAATTACATAGGTAATTATTTTAAATGAATAGTATATGATTTCG